ATGTCTCACATACATATCACACATCAGCCGTTACAGCATAACAGGTGATAAACCGTGTGCATGCATACGTCTTTTACTGTAGAATACACAGCTACTATGAAAGTATGGGTCATGCTTCCTCTGGCAGTTGTAGACTACGCCCAATTGAACATGCTGAATAACGCAACGACCCATAAATGATAACATTTCTAATGGTGCACCTTACAGCACGATTGCGCCCTCAGAAGCAAAATGCAGCGCCAGCTCATGCAAAGTGGAGAAGCCAACTTTCACTGCGCGTTTGAAACCGTGATGGTTACTGCTCTACAAATGAGGTAACGCGATGCCCAAAGTAGAGGAGTCCATCAGCTGCTTGTACGGCCAACAATGAGCATCGATTATGGGCCTGACAACAGCTCGGTTTAACGGTAGACAAAAGCAATGGTAATTGGCAGTTCCGTAGGAAAAATGTAATCCGGGCTGTGAGGTCCGGTAAACTCGCTGGTCCCGAGTCGAGACAACAGGACAACAACTAGCAAAACTGAGGAAAAGGAGAGAGAACGCAGAATATAAAAGTATAATACGGATGCATAAGCAACGCCTAGATACGAGAAGCCAAATGCAGGGGTGCCGCTTGCCAACGCCTGTGCCATCACTGATAAGGCTCCCAACAGCTTAATATGACCCACCATCACCGTCATCAGCAGTAGTACATCAGCCACTCGCATTGATGGCTCGCTGCCGAAGAACCATGGCGACCTACGGAACGAAAATTAACTGCCGTAAAACCTTAACGCTCTAAACACACAATCAGATTCAAGGCGTCGACACCTTGTCAATAACATACCGTCACAAAAAGCTGACTATCGGGCAAAGATAAGGCGGCATCGGCGAGACAGCTTCCTTGCGGATTTTACTCCCGCGTCATAATCAGCCATTACCTGGCAGCTAACACACGTTAAAGAGGTAGTCCGACTAGGAGACGGCAGCAGACGCATCATTGGTGTCGATTGCGAGCCATATCCTGCAAAGTTTCCAGCCAAACACAAGGTGAGTCACGTACACACCAGCACGGTAGACAAGACGGACCAACGGCACTCAGTATAGTCGTCAGTCACTTTATTTCCCACGCCAAGTCAACTTCTGTCCACCGCGAGCCTTGCGCCACTCTACAGCTGGCGAACAAAAATAAGGCCCTTCCCGGTAAGCGATGACTGGGCATACGTAGTACGTGCCCAAGCCAAGGCAACTTATTCTGTGAAATCTGTTGTTCTAGGGAACTAACATGATTACCACTACCTAGTACTCGCCAACGCATGTCCTCATGGCGGGCACGCTGGTGCCATCCGACACCAGCAATACTTCGCAGACAACGATGATCAAAGACTTGAGGACGCCTCAGATCTTTCAATCGAAGGGGCCAAGTCTCACTCCGCAGAGCAGAACGGCCCTCATTGTAGCCTTGTATACACGGTCTTGCAGATCGAGAAACTGCATTCGGTCGCAGGTTCAAGCAGGCAGTTCTGGCTTTTGTAATGCGTGAACTGACTTCAGTTTCTATGCGCCCATCGTTGCTGATGCAGCTGCCAAGGTAAATGATCCGATCAACCACCTCGTATTCCTCGTTAGCAAGAGTCAAGGGGTCATCAAGTTGCTGATGGTCCTGCAACAACACACTGCAGGTGGGAAGCGCATGCCATATGAGGGGACCACTGCAGACAGGTTATGTAGGGTTGATTGGGTCGTCGCTACATCGTTAGGTAGCAAGACAATATCGTCCCCATAATCAAGATCAACCAGCCTTTCATCAGGTAGCACCACAACGTCCACATCGTGGGATGACGCAAAAGAAACACAGCATAATGGAGTCCATGATGAACCTGAACAAAAATGGGGAAACTGGACAACCCTGACGAACGCCAGTGGTTGTCGGGAAAATATCCGACAAGTCACCGTAGACCCTGAAGCAATCCGTCGTATTCGAGTATAGAACACGTAAACTGTTCATATATTGCATGGGAACACCTTTCCGCACAAGTATTTCGAACAGAATGCGTTGATCGACTGAATCGAACGCACTCTTGAAATCAAGGAACACAGCTAGTGTCGGTCTGCGGTATGAGTAGCGATGTTCTGGCAATTGCTGCAGAGTGTATATACGGTTTATACAGCCGCGTCTTGGGCGGAAACCTGTCTATCTTCCCTAATCCGAGATTCCCGTTTCAAAGAGAGGCGATAAACGAGAAACGAGGCCACTAATTTTGTCAAAACTGGCGTTAGGCTAATACCTCTGTGGTTAGCACAGTCGGTCCGACTGCCCTTCTTGTACATCGCCACTATAATCGATTCATCTCAGTTAGCCGGGACATTGTGTTCCTTCCAGATATGTTCAAATAAGGAGGTCTGTGCTTTACAGAGGACTTCACCTTCGTCTTTAAATAGTGCAGGTGGGAAAGAATCAGTTTGCATCATCTGAATAGGAAAAGGTCCGGAAGCAAGAGGACAAGTGAACTGATCTTGAAAGTGTTTGGCCCAACAGGAACCCGCGTTGTCTCTGATTATCTCACTCACATCTGGTTTCCAGGGTCCAGTAGTACGGAACAGTTGGAAGACCTTGCGATAATGACCTAGTTTTCCTGCCTTCTACATTTATTGAGCATGGCTGGCCCACCAGACTTCCTTGTCAGCACACAGGTTCCGCTTTGGTTCGCACCTAATAGTCCATCTGGTCACAATGTGTTCAGAGCCAGCTGGAAGTTTTCTTCTAGATTCCAACAGGTTCACCGACCTCTCGGATATCTAGTGACTGGTGCGGCGACCATTGATAGTGTCACAGGAAGATGCTCCTGCGTCGGATATGGCGGCCGAGATCCTATTCCACTGAAGCACAGTGTCATTAGGACAAGGGAGTGAAAGTTCGGTACGCAGGGCATCCTGGTAGGTTCGCCTGACCGAGGGATGATATAACTTCTCAGTTGCCAATCGAGGGAGGTGCTTAGTGCGCCACTCGATAAAGTTCATGGGAAAATGGCAGCGTACCAAAGCATGATCAGAGTGGACGCAAGTAAGGTAGAACGAGCAGCAATCCAGGATGGAACCACGCCACTTGTAACTTACGGCAATGTGATCAATTTGGGTCCATCGCTGGCCAGACATAGGTGGACCCCGAGTGGCATTCCGGTGCCCACTGTGTCTAAAAGCAATGCAACTAAGAAACAACTGGTGTTTCATGCACAGTCGCAACAGACACTTGCCGTTGTCTTTCCGTTCGGAGTTAGCCCCATACCTACCAGCTAAGTGAGCTTCTGAAGAGCCCAGGCGACCTACTTGGGACAAAGCCCGAGGCATGCATACATGAAGAAAACACGTATCACTCTGACCAAATCCTCAAATCATTTTGATCCATGCCTTTTTAACACGTTATCGAATAGCGACCTCGTGCTGTGGAAGCACATAATTTAAGCCGAGGAAGTGCGTCAATCAGTATACGTATGACCTGACTAAGGCAACATGTATGCGGTCGGGTGGGGCACCAGAGAATTTCTTTCCAAACACTGCTCACTCAGTTTCCATCAGATGTAGACAATACTCCGCAAGCACCTGCGATCCAAAACGGTCAGTCTCATAATATCTTCAGGGAGAAGCGGTCATTTCTGTAATGTATAGTGTCATCAGCCTCACTGCTTTGGTATACATCTTGTTTTTGATTGACAAGTTGATATCCCGATGTTCCAACGGAGTATGTGGGTTTTGAAAAGTTACATCAGACTTTGTAAGTAGATGAATTAAATTAGTGGCGCGACCACCAGCGGTGATACAACTTAGTGTGTTTAGTGCAGTGGCCGAGTTCCGGATCCGTACATGAGAGAAGCATAAATTAATCCGGATAGCAGCTACGGCGACCAAAGGTATGTAGGAAAACGTAGTGACATGACAAGGCAAAATATGGTTAGGGATGGAAACTAAAAACAGAGACTACTGAGAAGCAGCTCAATGTCAAATTAATCCGTTCACCCACCCCTCTTGTCTCTGTAGTTGCTGGTTTGCCGATGACAACTAGTGCGACGATGACCTCGCTTGTGCTTTTTCAAGGAGTGAATTTCGAATGCTAAAATACTTAGAAGGTAAACGAGAACCGGTCTATGCCGCGAAGCTTTATAGTGGCGTAATAGATCATTTTCCGACGAGCGTTCGATTAACACCTAACGTTATTGATTTCGACGCAAGACTGGACTAGTCTAGATATTCCAAAAAAACATAAGTGAAAGTCTCTGTACTCCCATCTGATTTGAGAGAGTTCGTAACAGGGATTCTTCGTAACTGAGGTGCAGAAATGTGCATCGTTCGGGAAGAAGCACTCTAGCAGTACAAATTTAGTGGCCAGTAGGTCTTGGGTGACATGGGTATAGATTTGGTATGAGTGTCAAAAATAGGCACCTTGGTGCTTAAACACAACAAATGTCAAATAACGAATATTAGTTGAACTACTCGAAAGAGAGCAATGGTCTACAGTTGTTCTGACCGCAGCAGCACCTCAAACTTCCGTGGAGTATTCAGCGACGGCGGTATCGTTTATATACACCATAGGCAATTGCAGTGGTTACTAGGCGGTAAAGTATACTAGAATGAAGGGTTTTACCATTTAGCCTTAATATGTAATGAGCCAAGGTCCACTACGCACTCGGAACACTGGCAAATATCCATCAGAACCAGGTAATGAACGCACCTCTGTCTTACGCTAATGTACCTTAGTGTCGATCGATTAAAAAAAGGTTAGTAACCAGGGTGCACGTCTGTTGCTAAGGCCAGAAATCGATCCTCAAGTACATGCATGACCGAATCACTAAGCCCTAGGGTACGTAGATAAAACTCACACGTTTCATGCGCGGAGTACGTTCAGCTAGGGGTATTAAAAGCACAAAATGTCCACTTGCTTATCGGTTAATTCAGTAGAATTTAGTTGCAGTATTAAAGATGCATGAAGGACGGAAGTGCCAATTCGCAAGACAGTACGAACTCACTTGTTCCTGCGCTGCGAAGCCTCCATAATGAGTTGATCAACCAAGCGGTTGTCAAGTGGTGGGAAGGGAGCTTGATGGATGCGTTTGTGAGCTTCAATTGCTTCATTTGGAATGACACATTCAACAGGCTTGTCACCACACTCCTGAAGTCGGAGACGAATAAATAAATGGTTTAGTTTAGACTACGCGAGGTACGCCTGCACAGGTAAGAGTACAAAGAGTGATTGAGCAATGTACAAAAGTATAATCGGATTGTCATATCTGTGGATCCATGAAAGTATGTAGATGTGAAGGTGCATATGTGTACAGCTGTGTTGCTTGGGTTCATATAAATGTGTTGATGCACTTTTGACTGTGTTTGATCGCATCGCCAGTCTGTGGATTGGATACGATTGTCCGGATAAGCAAGTGGCAGTGACTTTAGTTGGGGGCGAGTCACAACCGTCACGTCGTAGTAATATTAAACAAACATTTGTGGCTTTTTATAGGGAGATCGCTTGCCAGGCAAAATCCCACCATATCCTGGAACACTGCCGCCGAACTACTTGCTGGAGCGCGTGGAATCCGACCCAGCCGGCTGGCACCCCGAGATTGTTCCGCTAGCTAAACAAACTTACAGCACTAAGTTGACTCGTTTTGCCTCCTGAAAAGGGGGAGAGGGGAGAAGGCGGAGCCATTCGACATGGACATGGTGTAAATATTTCCTCGGCCTAACTTTGCGTGCAAGTGGACTGAGGCGGCACTAAGAGCGAGAAAAGTAGCGCTTAGATAGAACGGTTAGGAAGCACCGATCATCATGGTCAGTAGCATGAGAGGGCAGTTCGAAGAGACATCAGGAGGAGTGTGAACATTGGGAGGAAAGTCTGGATGCCTGTTCAAGGAGGGCAGAAAGGTGGTTATTTGGACGTATAGTATGTTTGTGGGTGCAAGCGACATGAGTTGAAAATGAAGTCAGAAATCAGAAATGCATATCGGCCTGGACTCCATGATTTAGCCGAACAATCAAGCGACATCTTATCGGATAGAAATATGGAGGTCAAAAGACTGTAACTAGGATCACTGTGAGCAGTGTCGGACCGCAGCATGCCAAGCAGCATACGCACACCGAGCAACCCGATTCCCGGGGACATATTCGTCTTCGTTTAGTATATTTGCCGCAGGGCGACATCCACACTTCATGACACCGAGTGTGATATTTTCACTTATGTCAAGGCTCCACTCCCCACGTACTTCGAGAATGTGTGCTAGTTGGTATGAGGTATTTCCGAGTGGCTTGTTTGATGGCCAATAAGCGAATCGTGCGGAGAATTTTCGGAAACACTACTCCAATGAATAAAAGCGAGGATGATTCAGCATTCACAATTTGAGTGAAAATTGCCCCTATCAGGTCACTGACTGTAGCGATAAGGTGAAATGTCATCAGACGGCAAAGGCGGACACACTGGAATGGAATCTCAAGATTCGCACAATGAAATGGTATTTGGACGCTGCAAGCAGCAGGCCATGGGAGTACTGTATCAAAGCGAGATACGTGTACAGTGAAACGTGACGCGTTATACGTGATATCATCGTGTCCAATTGGAAGCGCAAATGGTACGTGCGGCCCAATATAGGCTGTGTTTCGGTATGGATTTGCAATGGAAACAACAGTATCGCGTTGGAATGATCCAGTTGCTTAAGTGATAAAAACGTGGATTCAGGTCAACAACTGGGTCGGTACAAATGTAATGATGATGTCAGCATCGGATGATAACAATTGGTCGGTCAAATTAGGTATTCAGAGGGCAACATAGAAAAAAAGGATGAGGGAAAACGAAGCTTATGGAAAAGAGGCAGAAATCAGTAAAGGTGTTAGATTGAAGGATAAACTTGGAAAATAACGGATTAAAGGAAAGACGATGAAGTATTCCTATGAGGAACCAGTTCAAAAGGTTCACGGAACAACAAACGTGACATAAGCTCGGAGCCGAATATAGGTGGATGACAGAATCAAAATAATACAACTTCCACAAAACGGGATGTGGTCAAAGGAGAGTGCGACCCAACGTGCACAAGTGACCCAGGTACACGCGGAAATCAGTTGCATTACCAACACATTGATGCAGACATGAATAGGCGAGACATAGAAAACCCGCTTTGTGATCCCGACTGATTCCGACAAAAAGCATCGGTTATGTCCTCAATAGTACAGCGGATTCATACAGGCTGGCTGTGGCACAGCGCAGTGAACACTGCAAGAAAGTCATTTCAACAATGTCGCCTAATCTTCGTATGGCCGCAGCATGCTGTTTATAGTCGTGTGCTGTTGATCATATAAAGGTATCTAGATTCCGTATGTTTTGCAAGGGCCCTCTTCCTTCTCTAGTTCTCAATCTCAGGCTCATCACAAATCAATAATTAATTCTTTTTTTATCAGTTGTTCGACCCACGTTGGAATATTGTTCAGTAGCGTATAGCAGTTCCAAGAAGCGCGACTGTATTGCACTGGAAAAAGTACAGAAAGCATTTACAAAGCGCCTCCTAGATGTTTCCTCAAAAATGGAATAATCTAAACGGTGCGATAAGCTCAAACTTGATGCGCTCTGGCTACGATGCATGAAGAATAACCTAGTTATATGTTTCAAGGTCATAATCAGAAATATACACCTTGCCAACCTCAACATGACATTGGTGCGAGCAGCCGTGTACAACACACGAAACAAACAGAACTCAGTGGCGGAATGCCAAAGTCTGGAAAAAGCTACCATTCGGAATAGGTGGATGAATCTTACAAAAGCATCAGCAAGTTCTTGTCTGAACAGAACATGATGAAACTGGTTATTCTATAGCAATAATCCAAGCGTACGAGCAGAGTCCAAGTATCAGATGGCTCAGCACATATTTCGCCATCATATTTCTCCTGTGATTTAACTGCTTTATTTGTGAGCCAAGTGTTAAAGGTGAGTCAACATCATTCCGATTCAGGCAAACGTTCATTATGTCTTCGTTGTCTGTCTGAACATTATTATATGATATGATATTGAACATTCCTGATCATTCACTTATCAGGTCATGCCAATACAGGCGTTTCACGCATCGTTAAGAATAATTATTTTATTTATTTATTTGCTTATTGATAAGAGAAGCACCAGCTCAAGTAATTCATAGATGACGATGATGACAGTGATCGTCGTCGCCGAGAAGAAGCGCGATGCGTCTGACCTACGACTAAAAGAACATTATCTCTAGGTATTATCAGCGGCTACAACAGTGAAAAATTCAACTAGCTTTGCGAGAAGTGTAGCAGTAGATGTTAGTGAGTGATGTGCAACTTATGCGAAGAGGCAGACAGTGGTTGACAGGACTTCTAGCACAAATGATTTTATACCCGCCACTCTCAGTGAGATCATCAGACGACCAGACATTGGTCTGTCAATGTGTGCACACTAGATGACGGATGTACAGTGCGCGACCGAACTCGTTAGAGTGAAGCCGCTGATATAGATACTATGACAGCAACATGAGAACCGAGTTGACAAGTGAGGTGTAGGTGTGCAAGCAGTGTGTACAGATGGATTTGAGTGACGGACCACATAGTCAATCGAACGCGGGCCTAAAAAGCGTAGTCACTGGATGCATCATGGAAACTGTCCAGCTTTGCAGCTTCAGTGATTAGTTGGTATCCGACTACACCACAAGTGAGTGCCCTTTGCTCGTTTCGCTGAAGTAAAGGAAGAAACTCAATGGCGCGACATCGTCCTTATACATGGAGGCGATCAAACTATATATATATATATATATATATATGAGGAAAGCGTCTTGCGTGTCAAACTTGTCCTCTTGCTAAATGGCCTTTTGAATAACCCGCTTGTTAATGTAGGACTGATAGGAAGATGGGGATATGAATGGACCATAGGAATAATTGGTAAGACCAGGAATGGATCTTAGATTTATGGGTGTGCTAAGAAGGGATTTCCTTGCAACTCCCTTCATTTCTTAACAATTGTACCCAAGCGCACAAAACACACCTGTTCATACATATAGTCAACAACGGATGATGACGCAAGCTCATGCGTATTTTAATGGATTACGGCAGTAGGCTTACTACAGTTTTATCATGAAGCGGTGTTGGAGTTAGGCCAGTGAATGATGATAAATACTGAACACTGAATTGCAGGGACGAGCAATCTAAATCAGTACAACTCTATTACAATATAATAAAAAACGTCAAAGTTAGAGGTACTTGTGATTCGTTAACATTCTAATCGTTTTTAACCTATGATATGACATGTAAGTCACATTGACACGGGACTCACAGATGTGAGATCTTACTGTCGGTGGGTAATCGAGCAAGGAATAGGATAATGTGGATATGTTAACCGAAAAATATTTTTAACTGCTACATTGAGTTTTACTACACTATGAGTTCTAACAGGTTGCTTCAAACATTGACCACACGCCGTTCAAAGTAAAGGGCAACTCGCTCTAAATCAGGCACCACGATCTTGTGTTGCAGGCTGTAGTCGGAGGCAGTAGTGGACTCAGGAGGTCATGATGAGATCGAGCAGCATCAGACCATAGAACAGGGTGTGTAGTCAGCGCTTTTGGCATGAGTCTTCGTACGGTAAAGCCCCGTAACCAGTGGATGAGGCTGGTAGCAGCGCGTTGGATCCGTTCGAACTTGAGCGCCTCACTTCGAACGATAGTAGACGGGCGAGCTGTACTTTAGCACTGGTCTTAAGATGTTAGAGAAGAGGCAAATGGCAATTTCTTCAGAAGAGATTCAGAAGCTGTACTTGAGCACACAGGAGATTTGCAAACAATTGTTGTACAGTTTGTTAGTATTAGCCACGGACAACAAGGAAGGCGATGTGTAGATATTGGCCATCGGTATCCTTTGCCAGTCTGTCGACAAACAGAAACAGACTGTACGTAAAAGGACTACGCTTCCTTTGGGCACCTAAACGCAGCTTTTGCATTTCGTCTGAAGAGAATGTCAACCGTCTGTTCTCTTCCATGAAAAGACCGGTGCTTGAGAACGGTTCAACCGTTTATTGTGCAATCACAATAGGGGAGATGTAGACTGGAAAAGAATCCAGCATGTAGCTACCCGCCTCATCCCAGTTTAACGGGTGTCGTACGAAGACCGATGTAGGAGACTAGGGCTGCACATTCTGTCATATCATCGGCCTTGAGTTGATCTTATAATAACGCATCTGGATACTGCACCTGCGCCATTTTCCTAGGTTGAGGCCGCTGCTGCACATTCGCGCACCAAGCAGGACACGCGGACACCGGTAGAAACTAGTGGTACCAGATTTAAAGTGTATCGCTCACCTTCTATGCCAGCCATTCTCAACTGGGCCATGACTCCCCTAAGGGCCATAGAGAACTCCCGGAGGGTGGCTCTGGGATGAGAAAATATGTTAGGGGAGCCATGGGGTTGTGACGAGACTAATAACAAAATACAGTACAAAAATTTTCTGGTAGGTTCTCCCCACCCATCAATCTCCCCCGGGTCAATGAAGTACGCGCGTGCAAGTGGCTGTTTACGTAGGTGCGAAAGCTAGCTCCGCCAAACTTGCGCAGGTTTCGCCGGGTTCACCTCAAACACACAATCACCATACGACGAGAGACTGCGCAACTAACAACCCATTCGTCCTCAGGACTTTGATGTGCTTTCACAGTGAATCAACGGAGCTTTATACAGGACACTGGTACATCTACTGCGCAAGCTGCAGTGAACCCTCTGAACTCCCCTCAGCACACCGCGGCAGTTACCGCACAAACCCACACTGACCCCAAATGAGTCTTTCTCAGGACACGACCACTGTGACAACTCATGTACCGATCAGTCTTTCTCGTTCGGGTCTCAGTGCGGTAGCGCCCGGTTACGCGTTTTTGTTCTCAAGTCTAAGCTAGGTGCCGTTAGCCGACTACGTTCCGAATTCGAGTGACTATTCTTCGCGCCTCAGGTACAATCTATGAAGAACGTTCGCTCGTTCCGACCAAATCGAAACAGAAGACGCGTTATAACGCTTTCATAACATTCAGTTCAGCTGAGGTATTCATATTAGCAAGCAGTTTTCGCAGCTTACATCATACGTGTGGGTGTCTGGCCGGTAGCCTAAAGGTAACAAGCTTGTTTTGTAATATGACACCGCGGGTTCGAGTCTGCGTGGGGGCAGGGCGACTCTCGCAGTATTCTCAGCCCATGTGCGACCAGTTGTGGTTGCGCGGCAGTGAAGCAGTTGGTACTGCGTACCGGCGTACTGCTGATGCCATTTTTATCAATAACCCAAGGTGTACATAAGGATACTTCTCTTAATACCCATAATAATCGAATGCCTTGCTAGCACGTCTTCGGTGCCATGTTAGGCAATAGCCGGTGTACGTTATTGATTTCGCTTTTGACTCGCCATACCGGTTTCTTGAACTATCCGGCATTTTTTCTTCTTCCCTGTTTGTCTCTTCTGCTCTGCATTGCACCTGTTGTCACTGTGTACTACAACGTTCCTGTAATGTATGTGTAAGTGTTGTCAATTTCTGAGTTCCATTCGTTTTCTTCATTGGCTTTTGTCAACAAGTTACTTTGAGTCATTGCCCCTACCCACGGTATTTTCGAAGTCATTCTCAGAAACCATCCTTGGGTTGCGCCTAACAGTGTTTCGACACCTTAACAATGTAGCTACCAACAGCTTTTACTAGTATACTTACCAAATGTGGTAGCGATCATAATCTCACGGTCAAGTAAGGATAAATTTAGTGCACCAAGCATTCACATTACCTGCGTGTTTCGCCTTGTCGAATGATGTTATTTAAAATACCCAAGATATAACCGTGCAAGAAAAATAAAACGAAAGCAATATATATATATATATATATATATATATATATATATATATATATTCAGAAATGAGCTCCTCGGCAAAAAAGTGTCGGCAGTACTTCGTGGGATGCCTAGCATTGGAATTTATCGCATCACTTCAAAACCCAACTCTACTTATTTGGTTTATTTGCTAAAACACTGCAATTAAAGCATGTGACCAAGTAAAATGAAAAAGCACTTGGAAAGTAGGTGGTTTTGCAGAAAGCTGAGGGATGGTTTCATAAAAAGATCAACTTTAAAGACAATGGTTTTTTGCAGGGCAAAAAATAGTCGAATAGATTTATGGTGTCTTATAAAGTCAGCAAGTTGATAGCCAAAAATTGCAGTCCAAATAATGTTAGAGAAAATATTAGTGCGCCCTCATTATCAATAACACTGTTTGACTTGGTGAATATGAATCCACTAGAAGTAGTTCAAGCCATTCCGATTCGCAATTCGAATGTATCGGCGAATTGATGAGATGGCTCAGGACTCAGAAAGTACCTTAGTTGCATTAATAGATGAATTAGATGAATCCACTTTACCTTACAACGACTTTCTTCGCGTGGCATCTGTCCGAGTCTTTAATGGTAATGAACTAGTAAAAGAGATGATGTTTGCCAGGAGAATTAAAACATACACAGTCTGTAGTTGAGGCAGTCAATAGCTATCTGACTGAAAACCATTCAAATACAGAACATAGTTGTATGTGCAACAGGTGGAGCTGCCGTAAAGGCCGGAAGACATAAAGGATTTATTGCCCAGCTAAAAAGGACCCCCTTTCTGCTAATAAAATTCACTGTGATTCGTCGAGAGCATCTAGTGGCTAAGAACGTGGGGGGAGCTGAAACGATACACTCTTAACTGTTATAACAGTAGTCAACAATATCAAATTGCACCTTCAGCAAGATCGTCTTTTCCAGAAGTTGTGTGAGGAGAACAGTGGAGATTTCCAGCTTCTACGTTTGCATACAAAAGTTAAAAGGCACTTCAAGAGCAACTGTATTCGTTGTTTTGTTGCACTCTGGGACGACATCACCACATTCCTTTCTGGAATTGATTATGAAAGGAAACTGGGTACAGCTAAACCAGAGGTGTTTTATCTGGCTGGTGATTTCGGAAAAAACACTTTTTGAATAAAACACTTCCAGGCAAATTGAGTAACCTCGTCAGGAACAAACATCCAAGTATCCCTTTTCTTAAAAAGCTGGAAGTATTTGCTCACAACATCGGACGTCGGGGAATTTTCACAGTTCCCAGTTCATTGTTTATGCCAATCACATAAAAGAACACCGAAAATAAATGAAAGACAGGTTTCATGACCTAACTGACATGAAAATCCTGATTTGGGTTCTAAATCCATTTGGTGTACAGCCTGTGAAGGTCTCATAGAGCTTCAAAGTGACACACTAGCAAAATCCATATTCACGCAATATAAAAGGGATTTTCGGATAAAGACATGCTCCTAACAGATATCAGACGGTGAGAATTAGCTGAAGTCTATATCATCGCTTTTACATCCACATACTTGGTTCAATGCGAATTCAGCAGACTGGTTTCTCTAATCAAAGTAGTAGCAAATTGGGCATCACAGCAAGAGGAGATATTCGGCTGTCGCTGTCGTCTGGAGTCGAACATAAGCAAGCTTTCTCAAGGGCATCAGGCTCAGGGTTTACAATGCTATCTCGACAAACCTATTGTTAAAAAATTAAACACCTGCAAATTCTTGACATGCCCTAATGCTGAAGGCCAACAATAATTGAATACAATTTTAAATATTAATGATGACTTTTGTGTAATTACATACAAGTGACTTGACGTTGCCGCATAATGAATGTTATCTTGAGGCTGTAAAGTTAATAATGAGATTTATAGAGGAAAGAGCACTAAAACTTTAGTCATCATAAAAGTATACCGACATGACCACTGAGTTACCTCTGTTAGGCGTTGCGGATTGCTGAAATTGTGGTGGTCAAGGATGGGGGCCATGAGAAATGGAAGGGTTTAAAAGGAATCAGCGGCTGGGTAAAGGCTGAGACTGCCTGCTCAATGCTTCGAGTGGTGAAATATTGGAACAATTTGCCGGTGACGCTAGTCGAGACGAAATCGGTGTCGGAATGTAAGAGATTCCAAGATGCCCACTTTGCGGACTACAGGTATAAGGAGCGTATCGTACGCAGATAAGATGTAGTGCAGCTGCAATTTGCTGCCACCGCGCAGGAATCAGCGACGTGATTGCGCATGTGCCTGATCCACCTACGATGGAGCAACACAGATTTTTGTCTTCTTGTTCTTTATTCTCAGTATTCGAGGAAATCGACAAGTGAGATGACCGAGAGACGGTTGAGGTCTTACTGACGAAGACCGTCGTCGTCGGAGGTGCCAGTCGCTCTCTTTATCTTCAGTCGTCAGTAAACGAGACACACGGCAACTGAAGAAGCTGAGGTATTTAGTTGGTGTAGATCATGATCAGCGTAGGCCCTAACACTGTGCCTTGGGGTACGCTACTGGTCGAGTGATACCAGACGATCAGGTGACCGTCGACCCAAGGAGAAAATCCACGATGCACTGGTGCAGTGAGCAGTCAACATCGCATACTCAGTCTGTGCAAAAGGAGCTCATGGTTTGCCCTGTCAAATGATTTGCTGAATTGTGAACGTTCCGGTTGTTCGGGACTCCATATTAGCTGTGTACCCATCCGCGATGGATCAATCGTGGCAAAAAATAAGGAAATAGAGGTTTAGAGATATTACAAAAAGTTATCACCAGTAAACAATGATGACGTACATTTTCCAGCAGTTTCTGACCAAGCCGCTCGGTCACGGACACAGTGGAGAGAGGGGAGTGGGACGTAGCGTGTTCGCTTGGGCTCTGAATACCATCATAATGATTTGGCGGCATCGCGGAATCGTACACTTCATCGAAGAGATCGCACACACGAAATGGTGGTCCTCGCTCCAGTATAAACTGCTGAAACCGCATACTGGAGAGAAGACGCTCGAAAAAATCGTTCGGGGCAGTAATCCGACGGAGCATGAGAAAAAGGGACTGAAACGGAGAGACAATACAAATGCAGAGAAAAATAGAAAAAATGAAACTATACAATTTGTAGATATTTCATCGCAATTATTTCGCAGCCGGTAGTAGACAGTCACTAAATCGACCACGAATGGTAGAGCTTACTATACACAGACTCTTGTCCTAACATCCTCCAAATACCATATCACACATAGTTGCTATAATGGAAAGCCATGTCTTCTGCGACGCTTTTAATTTGCAGGACAGCGGAGGATGAGCCGCAATACATCACAGTTAGCTTGCAATTTATAATTGCTCACTTCCGTCACCCGTTGCCCCAGTGGCATAAGCAGATGACGAGCGTCTCAATAACGAGAAACGTCCGACTGGTGCGTCCCTTGATGCGTGACATGAAAATTACTGCAATGAACTATCAGTAATATTACATCTAAAATCCACTACTCGTAATCAATCAAATACATATGAACAATCGGGTGTCAGCCCTGCAGTGACGCAGCAAGAGTAGAAGGCTGACTGTCGCAATGCATGCATTGTCCTATACTAGGGGGTTGAAAAAGGAGTGCCTTTATGAACACCAGGTAAACGAGTGCTCCACTAATTCACATTGTCGCTGATAAACGCAGCAACACATCGCATCTCCACACAAACACCAACTGATGCGGGTAGGGATAACATCGTTTGTTCGTTCAAGCTTTGTTTACATGCGGCTGAACAATTGTTATCTGATCCAAAAATGGATCGCGCAGATCTGGAGTCGGAAAAAGCAATCCTCAGACTGGCCGAACAACGCATTGCAGGGAGTTGAAACCACAAACCGAACGAGCACAGCCATTGAAAAACATAGACTGCAATGATTATCGTCAAGTTTTCATGCACTCGTGCCAAAACATAGTTCAATAAAGGAGCACCAGTTAGAGTACAGTAAGATGCGTAATGCATAATTCTTAGAACGTACTTGGTTGAAATGAAAGACTGGTTGAGGATGGATGCGCGTGATATTCAGACAGGAACGGTAACCGGAGAAAAGAGAGGCAAATAAGCGGACGAACACGGCACGTAATTGCTTATCCTGTACAAAGAGATCGTTGGGTGATCCAAGTTGTTTCGGGGGGTACATGTGATCGGAGGTCAGCAGCTCCGGGCTGAGGATCTATCAACGAATGAAAGTTGTGATTGTGATAGTAGGATAGGGAAAATATGTGGGAAATAGTACGTCCAAGAAATGAGAGTGATCATATAGCATATAGCAAAGTGGTACAGAGCAAAACGCGTTTAAAAGAGCGTATGCCGCCTGGCGACGTAAATCAATTGCAAAACCACATCATGCCCACAATTCCCCGGCGCTCTTGATTTCCGTAGATCTTTTCGAAGAACGAGGTTAGACCACAATGTTTCGATGATATCGACATTACAATTGGGCTTCGTCTAAGTTCAAGTCTAATTCCCTAATTCTAGCTGAGAAAATCGAGTAATCACAAGATAATGAGATTCAGATAAGCTGTATGTTATCAGGCAAGTTAAGAGATAAACAAAAACTAATAAATGTAAGAGCGAAAACCAATAAAGCATAAAAAATCAGAGTAAGATGGAATATGAGTAAAATGATGTATTAGCTCGACAGCCGAGTGGAAAGGACACCGAAGGAACACCGATGGAGTCAGAAAGGAAGATTGAGAGGGCTGGTCAGTTGGTGGGATATAGACTCATGGTCAAGGGCGAAATGTAAAAAGCCGCGGTGCGACCAGTGTGTTAGTGCAAAAGTCTGTCAGAGGGATTAACAGCCTGTTCGCCTGTGGTCACTTGTGCCAGCGAAGTATACATTATGACAGGTGGGAGCGCCCAAAAAAATAAGGAATTTCGTCATTTGTTTCCTGCTAATGGAGTGTCTGCTAACGGGAATCACATACACTGACTGGACTATGCGATCTTCGTGTTTGCAAGTTGAAGATATGAAGAAGCTGGGTCGGATTGGCGCATAGAAGCTTTATGGACGGGATCCTCAGCATTGGTCATCACAGTGGCCAGATGCTGTAACGGATGTGACGGAGTCACGAATGTAGCGTGGGCGGTGCACTCGTGCACCAATCTCCGACACACCACCGGCTAAGTGAACTTTTAATCATTCCACTTAAACCGACCCTGCCATTTCATCTCACATTTCCAGATCGTTTTGGTAAATTGAATCAAAGTGATTGGATCAATCACACTTACGTACCTGGATCATAAATGCACTGAGTATGTACACCGATTAAGGGTCGCATACAAAAGCCCGGCGGCCAGCGGCGGAGTAGTTTGGATATTTGTCCTATAATCACTAGCGGTTACTCGTTCGTGCTAAGAGGCGACACCACAGAACCCCAACCCGTACGAAACCGCTAGTGATTACGCGGTATTCAAAAGCTCCTGATCATTAGTAGCACAATGTGGAATTTGAAGGCGACGTTCATAGTGAGTAGCCGAACCAGATTGCCTAATTTATCCCCATCGTTGAGTACATCTAAAAGGATACCGAGATGGTCAGCGGTTGTTGCAAAGCTAAACAACCAGGGTAGACGGGCGGATAGGTTCTATCTGATGCGAAGATCTATCAGTAGACGGTAGCGCCACATAATTGACGTCAGCATCGCAACCAAAGTAGGTGGAAAGGGCCGATGAGCAACCATGTGCGTCAGGTCATGTTAAAGAAGTAAACGTTTTCTGAGTGTAAAGTCAGTGGGCAAAGCCTGTTGCTCAACCTGACGCAGCAGTCGAACGTTGAGCGATTAAATGTAAAGTAGTATGCTAGGCTCAAAAGATGACCTTTACATAACTTCGTATCGATGATGGTTTGTGATGCTTCGGTGAAATACCTGGGAATGACACAGAGCCGTGTCTTACGTGGTCTCTTCATCTGAACGAAATACTAATATAAAAGGGTTATGGTTTTATGTTGCTTGTGTCACATATTTCGCCTTACTCAGTTGCTTTTTGCTACGGTCTAAGTGTGCGCGTGTAACCATATTGAAAAATCATCCCGCGATCTATCCTGGTAATTTGAGTAGGCACCTCAAGATAATTACCAGCTCATTAAAACTTCTAGCAAGATGTGGCAGGATTCTGAGATCCGATCAAGTTGATGTCGTTCCGTCTAATCGTGTAAATTCATGCAAATTGCAAAAGGTGCTAATCACACCTTGAATGAGGCGTTAACTAGATGTATGCCAACCTATTCGATTAGATAAATGTGCAAAATCATATGCTCGCACATCAGTTGTCCTATACAGGCCCCGCTTGGTGACAGATCGAATTATGGTCAGTCAAGAAATGGTTAACGAATCGATTCAGTGACATTGGGCCCTAATAATTCTTCTAATAGCTGTCGTTTTACAAACATGCGTTTTTAACAATTTTTGGTGGTTATCCATGTCAGTAGTATGTGTCATGGTCGAACAGGTATTCTTCATGGATGGACAGAGAAAAGCATTGAATTGACGTGAATTGTTAGTGTTAATTTGGACTCTTGTCGGATAACTTGGAAAGGATGAGAAAGGCAGGACGTTTAGCAGGTGCATGATGTTCTTCGGCTGCTCATTCTAAATGAGTAGGGTTGGGGAGAACCCGCATAGGCAAACTGAATCAACAAACTGCTTCACAAAGAAGTGGATAGCAGATCAGGGTCAAAGGTTGGACTGACCAGTTTTATGGGAGGTATCATGATGCCGGGCTTACGCAGTGTGGGCTGAGTGTTGAAGGGGAGATGACCAATCAAACTTAACGGGGTTGCGCAGGGTGTCCACTAAAACAGCGTTAATCAACAACATTTGGTAAAGTGAAATACTGAAAGTGGTTTGGTAAAACAATGCCATCACGTGACCATCGATATTGGTAGCAGCACATTTGATGCCTAAACCTAAAAAGAACCGAATTATTGCATTTTGCACCCGAACCACCAATTGGACACAGAGGAATGCGAACTTTGTGGGTCAATGTGCCGCAGCGACTTAGAAGAGGTGAGCTGAAGGTATGCAATAGAATGGCAACTTGTGCTGTCGGAATGGCAAACACGAGGATGGACCGAAAGAGCGCCACAACAAGTGATTGATGTGTGATAAACTGGAAATGGCAAAACGTAACTGCGTGACAAGAGGGAAACAGCGGGGATAAGGTAGTGAAATGGAGAATGAGACAAAGTATCACGCAAAATGATATTTAGCTGTAGTTGATGTGGCGGAGGCTGTTGATCGACATCTAGCCCTATATGCAGAGGCCTGTGTTAGTTGCAATGCTGGAGCGATTGGGTGAAACCCCGAGGTAGCCAATCAATAACGCGGCAAAAAAAGCATGGAGAAACTAACCGAATGAAAGAGTTAGGTTGGCTCATGCCACTACCTGGGATAAATCGCTCTAAAACCAAGTCGTAAATGGACCGGTCACAGGGTCAGTGACGCCTATGCATTCGTTCCCTCATTCATACTTTTGTCCGTTCCATCACACTATTTCAATTTTATTAAGGAGGGGGAAGATTTTTGATGATGATTTGCCATCATCCCTCTATGGTTTCTTGAAATAAGCTGATGGCTAGTTGGCGCAAGATGCAAGACGTCATGGGTTCGGTTCCCTGAAGAGGACCGATGGTAAAACCGCCGTGTGGCGATTTTTCGAATCGATATTTAGACAGTCCGGATTGGAATCTGCGGGGACGAATCAGAGAAATTACGATCTCGATTATTCTTCTTGATACATCACGATTATTATAACTGTTAATGTTATCATAATCGCAACTACGCGCGTGAAGGCAACTGGTGCCCTCGCACACATAAGCGCACGGAGAAAGTTCGACAAACTAGACTAGGGTGTTGTATTGTATAAGCATTGCGGTTCGAACAACCTGCAGTTATACATCAGTAGGGCATTCCAGTGTAATGATGCATGCAATAAAGAAGTTTAACTGATTGAAAGTGGCTACTCGTCGGAAGTTAGGTGAGGTGCAGTGAATTTAGGTCCTTCAGAAGTCACATCAAAGACTGTTTGCGAATGAAATATTACCGCCCGTTAGAAGGAAAACGTTCTTGTAAAGGTCCCGATGGCGCCAATCAACCCGTTCCTGACGGCGGAACACAGCAAGAAACAAGGTGAAAACGACGCAAACACGACAACGTTGCGCGTAGATTGCCAAAAGAAATGCTGTTAACTGAGAATTGCACCAAAGTACGAATCAGGGGGGTTAAACAGGCAGTGAAAACTTCGGGAAACAAACTGTCCAAAGGGAATCATAAGTTGTAACCTGCATTTTTTGGAAAATGAACTACAGAACGCGGCGACAAGAAGCATCCTTAAACGCCAAACATGAATAGTCACTTTAGACAACTACAGACGGAAGTAACAGCATCAATGTATGGACAAAGGTCAAAGAAAATAAGCAGCTGATATTCGCGGCGCACTATAAGGTAATCATCGGTCAAACGAAGGAAATAGATGGTGGCGGAAATGAAACACTTCCTCGGTGGGTGGGTAGGAAATGCCGAATCCGTCCACTTGCAAAGTAAAACTAAAGCTGCACTCCAGAGAGGAGAGGTTGATCGTCATGGTAACCCTCGCGTACACATGGCACATAGGCCTAAGCTCGATTACTCACAAGCTGCAAAACGTTGCGTAGCGATTCACTAGTACTTATTGACAGGCCGAGCGGGAGAGTAAACGAAACTCATTGGTTATAAAAGGAACCATCAAGAAGTAAACAGGTAAAGATAAGCAAAGCAGTTCCAAAAAAAGTCCGATCATCGTTTAGTTCCGGTTCGCAAAAAGCACAAGACTGTCGGTAAAACGAGCATACATAGATGACAGGCTAGGAGTGTCGTGGAGTTCTGCCATGACAACACTCACAGTCGACAGTAGTGCACAGAAGGGCTAGCGATAAACAGACTTTCTATTCAGCTTAGTAAGAACCACAACGATCGTTGGCAAAATTTCCTTTTTAGTTGTTACGTACTGATTACCTACAGCCACAAGAAAGTTAAATCTTAAGCAAAAGAGAGCTGAAGTCCTGTTCGGGTGAATAACTTAGTGATGTCAAACAACCAGTAATGAGATTCGGGAAGGAAAGGAGCTGGATGTAGTTATTGCGGAAGCAAAGGGACGAATAAATGCAGAAACAGAAGTATGCGTAGTGGTTAACAAGACAGAATGAGACTAATCAAATAGAAGCAGCAAGCAGTGATCGGACAATGACAGAATGACAGGATACTGTGGCTACGAAACGGAATACGAAGAATAACGGTTGCCATCAACGTGTGCATACAACACGGGAAGAAAATCAGCTTGTCCGTTCGTAAGCCTAAACTCAGTAGTCGGTGTACATTTCCTCAGCAGCTAAAGCAACAATATAACATACGACGAAAAAGATTACCAGGGAATAGAACACAACACCATGGATCGACTGTGTGTATCTGGTGTACCCAACCATGCGAAGTCAATGACGCTTTCGTTGGAGATATCAATTGAGGATGATGATGTCCAGTATAAGATATTGGACAGAAATATAAAATTCATGCAACAGCTTTCAGTGATACCTCCTAGTTTCAAGAACACTCCGGTTCGAACAAAAAACAGTGTTATTTTGGTAACCGTTGGGACCACAGAATAATATAAATCAATTATGGAGGTATTTGGATGTTGTTCCCAACATCAGATTAATTGAAACGCCAAACGATCGCACTTATGATAAGCAAATAAACAGATGTAATCAATTCATTTGCCCATGTTTCATAAGGAACAGATGCAGTAAACGTGCGCTTTCGCGGTGTCATCACCAGGTTAAGCCAGTTGCTGGCCGAGTGGCTCGGGCATCCGGCTTGCAATCAGAAGGTCGCCGGCTCGAGTCCAGCAGCGTCCATTCGCCAAATACTGCTAGACCCGACCTGAATACTGAATAGTGGTTGGAAGCAGCAAGAAGAGTTATCTCTGTGTGACTGCATCAAAAACACTCGGGTACCTAGACTTGTTATACTAGAGAGCACTCGAGACACTTGATATTTGCAAAGTGTTAATCCAGGAATTCCTTGAATTTCGGTTGGACCGTAGCCTTAAGAATCACAAGCCTGCCTTGTAATCCGATTGTCGGGGTTCGAGCCTGCATAGGGACCGGACGACCCTCGCAGTATCCTTACCCCACGTGCGACTGGAAGTGGTTACGCAGCAGCGAAGCGTCGGTACTGAGTATCGGCGTAATGCTTATGCTCATTTTTATTGAATTCCGACATCGACTTTGCTTCAACTACGTGCTGCGGCAGTTTGTTCCACAAATTCACCACTCTCCGTCCGAAACATAGTTGACGGGCGACCCGCTTCAAATCCGATATTACAAGCTTGTACCGGTGCTCTCGTGTGTTGCTTGGTGTGCACATATGCAACAGCATTCTAAAGATGCGGTAATTAGCAAATTGTAATATCCGGTGCGTCATGATGAGATCAACCCGCAATCGACAATATCATAGGATGCAAAGCTTTAGCCGCTTGTACCGGTCTTCGTACGGCACACCTCGTAAAGTGGGCCCCAGCCTGGTGGTCACATGTTGAACCCGCTCAATCCTCTCTACCTCGCCCTGGGTGATAGGACCGTATACGGATGAGTCGCACATCACTCTTAAGAGTCAGGGATTTAAGCCATCGAGCAATGTGTGGTGGGACCAAACGGATATGAGTGTTCACTAGATGAGACAATACGGATACTCATCCACTGGCATACATGTTACGAACTTCCTTTGCAATTCGCCACCGATGCGTATGCATCAGATGCCCTGTTGATCACAATGCACTGTCACGGTATGTTCGCGCGGTAGGTAATGCCATGTAGCATGGTCGGCTAATGACTACTGAACACGAGTACACTCTACGGATTCCCTAAGCAGACACACTGGAGGATTTACACAAGAGTAGGGGATTTTAACGTAATTACTTGAGACTTCGCCGCAGCATGATAAGACGCGTTATATCGCCGTTAGCGTGTAAATCATGACGGTCCGACACTGTCTCCTGCGGCCCAGTGGCATAAGCAGCTGACAGGCAGTGCAAGCCGCTGCGGGTCATATATACGAATCCTGAAGAATCCGGTGGATGAGCACGACTGATGATGCCCAACAGGTTGAAACGGCAGTCTAGTGCTTGTCCGGGCATGTGGACGACTAGCTGATTTGGAGCTGGCTGCGACAAATGTACCATTAATAAACACAGGAGGATAAGACAAATGGTGATGGTTGGGTTGGAAAGATCCGGCAGCTTGGTGACCGCGGACAATGCTCAGAATGTACTTTAATTCGAATCAAGTCAACGCAGGAAGATGCAGGTCATCATGAACTAACAATCGGACAGGTCGCATGCAAGCACCAGCCGGTCTCTAGGAATGGAACGTTGTGCAGTGGAGCCATAGCGTAAGTTTAGCCCCAGAGAACAAACACAGTGACTAGTCCTGGACTAGGTCCCAAATACTAGAATCCCTTGTTCCACAGACACACATACTTCACCACATTGAGTAGGGCCAAATCACAAAGGGGCTACACACCAGAAGAGCATCAGCAGTATGCCGGTTCGCAGTACCGACGCTTCGCTGCCGCGCGACCACAAAGAATCGCAAGTGCGATAAGGATACTGCGAGAGTGGCCCAATCTCTATGCAGGCTCTAACCCGCGCCGTCAGATTAGAAGATAGACTTTTAATCCTTAAGTTTACGGGCCAGTGCGTTTTCATTATTCACACCAACGCTGGGGCTGCACACATGGTGATAGTAATCGGTAATGAGGGTGAATGGAACCGACGCGGTACTATCTGACGAGGCCACGATTGCAACTGCAGAATGAATTCGGCTCAGTAGGAAGTGCAGCATGATTGGAGACAGTTGGAAGCGGGTTGACCCGGGCAGCGGCGAGCAGACAGAGTGCGTTGCTAACGGACCTAAAATGGTGACTGTCCGATTGAGTGGACGGAGGCGAAGCGAGGATAAAGAAGGGAAATTGAATCCAGTTCTGCCCCACAGAACTGACAAGGATAGTACGGGACAATGTGTAATTGGCGTAGCTTAGCATGAACCGAATTAAAGATGGACTTAAACAAGACAGGCTGTAATGAGCGCACCGGGTAAATGAGCTTAAACATACGACATATCAGAGAGAGAGCCAGTGAAAAGGTATTACAAAGGGAAAGTGGTTGGAATAACTTCACCGTATAAGTGATTCCTATGGTTCATGAATAAGAGGTGTTAGATAGCTGCGCGTACATGTTTTGATTCCGGGCCGCACGACACAGCATTTGTGGGATGAGCAAAGAGGTGAGCGTCGTACGGGTAGATTTCTTTTGGTCGACGAATAGGCGAGAGCTCTATGACAGACTGTACTAAGGTACAGTGCAATGCTAATTAAACTGCAAATTTGGGGTCGTGGAACAAATATGCAGAATTTCGGAGACGTTTGCGAAATCAGCGGGAACAGTCATTTGAAACGCTAGGAGAATCGTGTGAGGAATCCGTCATGTACACAAAAGTTGGTAAATAACGTCGGCCGGTTGGAAATATGAAAAAGAGGTCATTAGGACAGCTGAAAGCACGATTGGAGGTAACCACATACGCATTTGCAAGCCTGGGAAAGGTGTGATTCTCTCCGGAAACAGGCTAAATTTGAGCGGTTTGTGCTAACCTACTCAATCGGAGAAATTCCTAACAGCCGCACAATTCGTTGTGGACCAAATGTAAGGATTATACGTAAAAAAAGAAGTTAATGGCCGAAGATCAAGCAAATCATGTGCGAATTAGACAGAACGGAGCAACAGTGATTAATCTACCTGATCAAAACCGCAGTGAACTGTCAGTGGATCGTGGTAACCATGAAGATGGGCGGTCACAGTTGAAAAGGTGATAAATGGTGATACTGACCTGAAACAAACTTTCTACCACCTCATCGAAATAGGGTTCCGGAAGCTGGGGCAAGGGAATGTTTTCAGGGCAAATGACACTGCCACCGTCCAAGTCAGCTACGAAGACATCCATCTGAAGATGATAATGTGGGTGACAAACGCCGTTAAGGAATGAGATGAACGACAATACGGAAACCACGTAGACGAGAGAAATTATGAGGAAAAAAGAATCCGGTGGATATCAAACAGTGGAAAACAGAGAAAAAAGGGCATTTGCAATATGCCGGTATGCAGTACCGACGCTTTGCTGCCGCGCAACCGCCACCAGTCGCCCGTGGGCTAGGGGTACTGCGAGAGTCGCCCGGTCCCTACACAGACTCGAACCTGCACCCTTGGATTACAAGGCGGGGTTACGATCCTTAGGGCTACAGTCTAGTCGTGGAAAAAAGAAAACAAGATATGATATTTTAGGTTGGACAGATAATGGACTGTAACTGAGGTGTTGAAATTCAATTTCTTGAGGACAGATTAGGGGAAATCAAATTGCTAATGCTAACTGGTGGTTCAATCTGAAGAGCATAGTCTTATCATGAGAATCGCGAAAATCAGACAATCAAGATAGATCGAGAGCGACAGAAAAGTGTTCACTTCAAAGAAAATTCTCCAACGGACGAGAGGCAAACTAACCAACAAGGGGGTTAAGTCAGACATGTACTATGCGAACTGATAGAAAAATAACGGCGTACTAAGTGCTAGATTCCTAATTCGGACGTGAGTGAATTCGAAACAGATAGTTCGGACTTGTAGGTTAGAAAAGTGCTCCCAAAAAAGGGCCCAAATGACATGATTATGAATCTCCGGAAAAGCTGTGTGTTGGTGTGATCAGTGAGTACGCAGCAGAAGTTGGATGAGGCTAGCTTGTCGGGTCACGATAATCAGATTCAAAATGGAGATGCTGGTGCAACCAAATAGATAATGTTCATGAGAAGAACTCAGAATTTTGCAATTCGTTTGTATCAATTTACTACGAAGCGGATATCAGAGCGCACGAGATGTAACTGCTGAGATTGACGTAGTCATAGTGACAAAAGTTAGAAAATGAATTGTTGTTGTTTAATCCCGTCAATCAAGGACGTGCAGGACATTGCGCGACGGTAAACAATACTGCATGGATCAGAGATGCGAGTAGTGTACCTTGAATGCACTGTTTTTCTGTAATCGTTATGGCGACGTAAGTCACCTTAATTGGATTCACTGGGTTTCGGTGTTTGGTTGATGATTGTTTACCTGAACTGCTGAGTTATGACGACCAACCAAGCACGCAACCCTTGGATCACACGTAGTTAACAACTGTCTGTCTAATGCATTGTGTAAAATCAGATATGTCAAAAAGTTACACCAGATGAGAACTCACAAGCCTACGTAAGTAATTAGGCTCAGAACCGCTTCATCACCGGTCTGCACGAAAAAGTGATCTTTCCATGGTTTAAACTCGCAGTATAGATACGCGCTTTATAAATCGAACTCCTTACATCGCAAATAGATGTTAGCTACCGATCTATCACTTCCGAGTCTTTAGTTCAGTTTGGTTGGTACAGTGCAACCCATGTACTGAGACGCGACAGATACTTCGCTTTAGCTCACGTTGATACACTTACGATGGCAACAATATATGAAGACAATCCAAGAGTGCAAGAGTGTAGTATCGATACGGTCCAATGATTGCGCTTGTTGTTAGTGAAGTAAACTAGCCCATTGTATCCCCTAGATTGAGACAATAAAAGCGTCAGAGATGGTCTATGGGGTAAGCGGATAAGAAATTGACGTGCAGAACACGCCTGTGAGGAAATCACTTCAGCGTTAAGCTGAGAAAAAGGGGGACAGGAAACACTGAGCAAGATCTCCAGGCGGGTGAGATGCTGCGTACTCCTAGAAGGTCAAGATGAACGCCAGGAACAACCAAAATGATGCGTCAAAATTGCTGGAAACGCACAAAGTCAGGCTGAACAGCTAGGCAGTGAGATGTGTGGGAAGCCACTGGAAAATCCATGCGCGTCTGCATGATCACGATAACAGTACAAATAGTCAATAAATAGAAGTTTGGACCAGATGACCGCTAGTTCATGGAGCGGAGAGCGTATTCTACTGAGTTAGGGAATAGAGAATTGTATTGTGACAAAGCAAGGAGACGTGAGGTGCCAATAACTTGCGCAGCAACGTCCGGTGTTTGGACAAAAACAGGGCCCAATGGGAGAACTCAGACTGAACGCCACTCAATGATAGATAGACTGATCGGGCGGCGTGACTCAAAAGCACGTCGCACTAGTGAAACGGTGAAGGCAACTAACAGGGTGTAACCGCTTGCTGCAATTCTGGACGGGAATACTCGACTAGAGCGGTACTTAATTCAGGTGCTCGGCCGGTGGTAGATAGGACTACGTGCTTGCTTTGTACTCCAGGAGGTCACGGGCTGCGCGCAAACAGAACGCAATACAGACCCAAAATGGCATACGATGACCGATAAAATGCAGTCACGAAGGTATCTAAACATTATGCATGAAACTTCTCTGATAGTGTTCGTGTGCTGATTACGGATGGCCATGCCAAGAGCGCGATACACAAAGCAGGCGATAAAGACGGAATCAATGCAATGCAACAGTTTGTTCTTTTTCTCGCATGAAAAAAGCGCATAATGATAAATGTCTGTCAATGTTGACGGAAATCGACCGGTAGTGTTTCATCGGCTGGCGCGCGCTGTTCTGTTGACGGGTAGCAGTTCCAACATGTGAAGTCATTCGCGTACGGTCCCATATAAAGGAGGTGGGATGAATCATCGGTTAAACTTTCCATTCAGATGTAAAAGTTTTCCAAATCTAATATCTAGAAGAAGAGACGCAATTAGCATCATCCATAGCTTTAGTCTGGTCGATTACCGACCAGATTTGGCAAGTTAAGTTTGCGTAAATAGCAAGGAACTGGAAGAACTGGAAGCAAAATTTGTTGACACAGACTAGCAGTCGAATGTGCTGGATAGCCTTCGAGTGCGTGGACGGCGTAAGCTGCATTTCAGCCCCGTGTTCCATAAACAGACATTACCATTCAAAATGATATTAGCGGAAAGAAAACTATCGAACCGGATCTCAACTAGACCCAAGGAGTAAAGGGGCATCCGAATCTAGATTCCCATGTCTGTTGTGTTGGTTTTAGTGGGAATAGGCCTCTGAGATAGCATCTATTGTGAACGACGCAGGCCATCCAATCGAAGCAAAGGAATGATGCGCTTAAACAATTGTCAAAAAAGAAACGATGACGAAATGAAAGCAGGCGACTAAGAATTGTTACAAAAACCCATGTCCAACGAGTATCTCCTAACAATTTTAATGTTACTATGGACAGACAGAGGGTTGAGGGTGGCTACCACCAATGATAGCTCTAGCCACACACACAAATCCAGTGGTAAGGTGAGAAAATATGACCAGAAGGTATGAGAATGGAGTCTCTAATTGATTCGGAGCAGGCCCACATACCTCCAACATGCACATTGCTTGTACTTAGGTGTAGAAAATGCTTGATAGACGTACCTACGGCGATGACAAAGGCTTAGCTCGTGCCATGATGGAGTTGGTTGACATCCAACAGTTGGTTTTAGGCAAGAAACCGGTTTAGTCACCTACAGTGACTGGGTCACGTCCTCGGTGCGCCCGTTGACCGCCTTCTACTGCATGCATTATATGCTGTAGACGCATCAAGCTGAGCGGAACCACGTGGGGTACTACGGACGACGTGGAACTAAAACATGAAGAAACTAACAGAAAGCCTTGGCCGGACTGGTTAGTGCTGCCTTCGTGCACGAGGGAGTCTGGATGTTCCACATCCGTGATTAGGAATCAGATCGGTAAAGGCACAGTACGCGCATTCAGTGCAGCTCTTGCATTCGGTTCTTTGCATCTAGCTGCTGATAATGCATCGCGATGAGTTTGACGCGTTTCGTGGTTAATTGCCCTATCTAAGTGCTAAAGCTTTCTTTTATCCTCATTGTTATTTACCGTTCATCTGGCTGCACGAGTGGTGGCAGATGGACTCATCGCAATTCAGTGCTCGAAACTGTACTGATAGAGTCGCCTTTGGAGAGTAATGCTGTCGTATATACTACGTGAAAATGTGCCAGCAATAGGTGCAATGACAAATGCAAATATTGTGGAAATTATAGCGGATAAGCTAATTTCAACAGGAAACACCACAAGCCACGCGATGATGACCATGCAAGTGCCATGAAATGGGAAGGTGCTTTCGGATGCAGCATTAGATAGTAAGCTCCCATCGATCTGTAATCAAAGTTGGACACGATGGGATAAACGACTACGTGCGAGGACATGTCAGTTGCAAACCGAATGGACGCGATGGTCACCCATGGACAAAAACAGGATGAAAATGGGGGCACAGATCAAGTGCAGAATATGCGGGATCCGAATGAAAGCTAGTAAACTTCACAGACTAAGAAAAATGATAAGTGGAGTTGGAATGGTGGTAATAAAGTCACAAACGTGTTTTAGACTGCTACCTATGAAAGCAGAGGTATCAGCAGTATGTTGGTACGCTGTACGGACACCTTGCTGACACACAACCACCACCAGCCGCGTAAGGGCCGCCCGGTCTCCTACGTAGACTCGAACCCGCGGTCACAGGATTACAAGGTAGGCCGACCATGGAAGCAGAACGGATGATGGTGATAGTGGGAAGGTATTGATGAGCAGCCGGTGAGATTAACTTTGGAGGTCGATGAAACAAATCCAAAAGCAAGAATTTGGGGACTGGTTAGCGGAAGGAGTGGCCCAAAGATCGCATTCTAAAAAAGACTGCGCCTTTGTTGTAAATGCACCATAAAATTCTCTGGATGAACAGAGTGGGTGTATAAAAAGAACAAATCGAGAATAAATTGTTGTTATTAAAACAACGTAGTGTACCCTAGAGGACATGGCGAAAACCGTCAAGTAAATAATAAACCACGGATCAGTTGGGCTGATAGAAACCGAGGAACCGGGCCGATGGTCCGTACACAAAAGCAAGTTTAGCTGACCAAACACTGCGAATAGAACAATAAACTTGAAGGGGAGCAGATTAGCCTCTAAGCTAAAAGCAAAAACGTTACTACCTCACTGTTTCGTACCCGTTGGTCATCACCATGCAACCACAAACCACAGTGATAAGGTATTGCAAGGTGAGTGATGAAGGGTCAACGCAAACAATAGGAGCACGTTTTCTACATTTCGCCAACGTCCCGTAATCGCAAACAGGATGAGGTGGTATCCGTGAGACAGTTATCCTGGTGCGTTCGGTGTCCGCATCATAACCAGCCTTAATGGGCTGGTAGCGTGGCGACGTAGACACTTCAAACAAATGGCAAATAAATCACTAGTGTCGATTGGCTCCAAGTTCCAAAGTAACGCGATGGGACAAGTACAGGGTGGTTCGTATGATGATGGTGACGAGAAATGACCCGAGTCTGGAAGATGAGAAAAACCAAGATAGATCTTATCTCGGAACCAAATCAATTATGGCTTTCCTCTTATACTATGCCACTCAAAGTTCTTGTCATTAAGAGCAGAACAGGCATACCGTGGTACATGAAAAAGCGAACAACCCCACCTTGATTGCTTTGAGCTAGCGAAGTAAACTGAGAAGAATCCACGTAGATCCTGTCCCTTCTAATGTTACTCATTCTGATGCGAGGATAAAGCGAACATGGAAATAGCCCGTATTTTTAAATAGGAGAAAACATGTTCATTTCCTCGTTCCTTTTGACCAGTCACAGTGCTACAGTCAAAGAAGGGAAAAGGAGACACTGATTCGGTTGGCAGTGCGACATCCCTACGTCGAGTTTCATTGTTATACTCCTCGTTTTCACACGCAAGCAATTGGTTGTCCTGGCAACAATCCTAACTGCAAATGTAGCAAAGTAAAAAGGACGCACAATTTTGTTAATAATACTACACTATATATTGCATTGTAGTGTACAGAAATGCGTAACCGGTTCAGCCGCCCAGATGGGTTTAGGCGATTCAACAAGGGAATGTGATGGTGGTTGGGTTAAAGGGTTCAGATCACAGGACAAGTATTTACTGTTTCATCCATGGGGGCCATAGATTTCATGAGTTGGAAAAGTGATTTGCGGATCCCAAATAGGCCAGGCTACACCTCCACCTCACCATAGACAAAACTATTTGTCAGATGGTACACAAGCTTGGATAGATCACGTGGTCTGAGTATCGATGTGACCGACGGGTTCACGCAGTTTCCTAGCGTAACGGTGAAGCGTGGAGGGTAAAGGTAAATAGAATGTAAAGAAAATGGAAGCAAGAGGAAGGTGCCTCAAACTAATCAGAATGGAACGAAAATTAATAACCAGATGCAAGAAACCGAATACAAGAACGCCACTGCCTGCGCGATGTCTCATACGGCTTAGAACCATTGATGTGAAACATCTCGAAATCCCCATAAAGGAATACGGCATGCAACAGCCTGACTGCTTCAGTCAATTTCTTCAGGTCTCTATGCCACGTTATTGACTGGCCACCTCACGGTTTCACCCAACGTGATGCAGCCACGGTTTATGATGCACGCCGAGAAAGCCGGCCAACAGGCATACGGAGGACATGGTCTAGCCAACGTAACCGACTAAGATTCAGCAAACACTTGAGTGAGGAGTCAGAAGGCATGTTGCCAAAAACCAAATTGGCGGACCTCAGCATTCCTCACCAGGTGTTCCCACCATACGAGATCAGAACAAAGACTGGGATGGAGTAAAGTTGAGTCAAGTACGAGCTTACGCCATTCGAAGCTGGCGGCTGTGTAATCCGTGTGGAAGTGGCGCTTAGCCGGAGGTTAATGGGGGTGAACTTTAACGAAGGTTGCTGGTCGGTTTGGATGCCATATACTGCACCTCGCTCAGTTATACCTTCGAGGAATTAAACCAAGAGAGAAAGTCAAATCAACTGATGCCTCGAAATATGTGATCGAAGTATTCGCACGGACCGAGAACGACTATACAGATAGCGGTGGGAAAGGGTAACACATGGTATTCACATGACAATCAGAGTCAGTTAACAAGCAGCCACTGATAATTGCTTGTGTGAAAGAGGCCAGTCTAAATGGACGATCGATTAACTGAGCCAAAATGAGTCACCAAACAAACACTCCAAAGTGGTGATGCGAGGGTTGGTTGTACCCTGTAACCATAGAAAACAATGTTGGGTCAAAATTTTCATACAAATGCACTAACAACACACAGCGAGCGGAAACAAATGAGATTGTATTGATAGCAATAAGCACTAACGAATGGATTGGCAGGATTATATCGGCGAATACGTGTACAAAAGAGGACAAAAGAGTAGCGTAGTGACAGGATATCGGTGGAGGATGGATAACAGGTGATCCGCTACCAATCCAAGCAGCCACAACAAAATAGCCTATAAGGTGGCAACAAGCGGCGTGAAGGTAAGAGGGCTTTGTTTCGTTCAATAAAACTTGTCAGTTTCACCTTATACACCGGAGTGCACATTAGTCAAATAATGGCCGAAAGCATAGAAATGCCACCGCTAACAAAAAGGACAATGAAAGAAGAATGGATGGGAATAAAACCCTCAGATGGCACAATCAAACATCTGAAATGAGAGCATTTGAATAGATGACTGTGTTACATCGGATAGTATGTGCTAACATTGCTGTGTCCGGTCCCGAGGGCTCAATTTGAGAAAATGACGCGAACTAATCCGACAGTGAATTCCATGCAGCAATTTCCCTTCAAAAACTATGATAACAAGAACGAACAACATTATAGTGGGATAAGCAGGATTCAGATTAGCTCGTGTCATCTGTCCCCGCGTATAAACAAACAGTGGAGGGATTAAAGGGACTCAAATGAGATGGGATCAGTAGGAGAACAAATAAGACAACGTGAGATTCAAGGCCGTCGACTATGATGATGAGAAACACGCCTTGCTAGGGCAGGGCGAGGCTGTTTGCAGAGGTTAGGCTTCAGTCGCCGGATGGCGGAAACCTTAGCAAATCAAAGTAAGCTTGCGGTTTTCTGCCTGTTGAGAACATTTAATGCATTACGAGGGTTTTCGCAAAAGTGTAATCAAGAAGATGCTGGACAATCGAGCTGGGAGGAAGGTTAGGGCCATTCGTTGCTAAGTTCCGTGGAACCTGTTCCACGATCCCATTTGAGAGCCTTTTCTCCATTCGGCCAATGTTTGTGCAAGTACAGGTAAACTGGCGGAAAGCTGAGAGTTAGGTATGGCCAATTTAAATTCATGGAGCAGTTTATTAGGACGGTGTAACAACACGAGCTACGCTGCGTAGTAGCGCCTTTTTGTGGCATGACGTAACTGGCAGCCGAAGCTTCTGTCACTCTGTTATTCGTTGTATGGTAGCATAATGTAGGCCTTTTTCTTAGAAACATCCATTCGTTTTTCACTTCTGACAATCCTTTCCCCATACCTTGCGAAGAGTAGGAGACCAAGTAAGGCCGACCTATAACCAATGACTTGCATGATATGAGTGACTCTGAAGGCACTAGGAAAGTGCCGCTCAGCGTAGCTCAATGGGTCACGGAGGTACACAAACACTACCGCATCACGTTCAGATTTACGATCTCACCGAATATGCTCGGAAGAGTCAATCCAGGCAGAATTACGATGTATCGCGTCTACCTTACGTAAATAATGACTGTCCGAACAAATGTATCACAAGATAGGGGGAAAGGATTGTCAGAAGTGAAAAACGAATGGAAGGATGACGGAAACTAACCCAACACAGTTAATTTCGTGGGTTTCATCATGATCTTTCACCGCGTCAATGAATGGCCACTTCGGAGTCTCACCCAACTAGGCGCAATTTTAAAAAACAATCGGGTTGCAAGTATGCGGAGCAGTTGACGGAGCCAGCGCGGATAGTTAACGCTGAATAGGCACCCCCAATGGTGTACAGGAAAGCATGGTGTTAAAAGCGACATCATGGTAAACATTCCGTTCTCCTAGCGAATACATGGGAAACAATTTGGAGCAGGAAGTAGATATAATCGGGTACGGGATGCACTGTGGAGAGAGCATCATTTACAAATGTGTACCATCGGTCCGTAAGAAAAAGGTCGAAAAACAGCAGGAAAACAAGCACCCCAGTACCATTGTTAGTGGTTATATGCAGATATTTGATCCAAAAAAGGAACACGCCATAAATAGTTCTGGATGCATACGTTACAATGCACGTAGTAAAGAAATTTGTTAAATAGCTCAGCGCACTTAAATGCCGACAAAAAATTCGCCAATAGTTAGCCAGTCAGCGTGGCAGTCTACCTCGAATTATCTCTGTCAGACAATCAGGCAGGTGGTGATTAAGCGCATGCAGGGAGGCGAAAAAGTGGCAAGAAAATCGAACCCGGAATAGCAATGTGGGTGAGCTACTAACGTAACAACACGAGATTCCCCAATGGTGGTAATGGTAGACGTGAGGCATTTCAGAGTAACCATTGGGTACAACGTGATATTAATGATTGCGTCAAATGTCAAATTAACTCACCAACTCAGGGAGTACATGCCGATAGGAGGTATGGATACCGTAGAGGAATGGGGTGGGCGCATTGATATACTCAATTAAGCCCTTGGGAAGAATGGGAACGAAGGTGTGCCTGCAGGAGATTAACGGGTGGGAGTACAGGTTGAGTGATTTGGAGAGGGGCGCGAAATCCTAACTGAGCTTTGGTAAATGGCGATAAATAGAGAAAGGTGGAAGTGCACATAGTAGTCAGGAGTTTAAATATCGAAAAATCGCTTGAGGAACTAAAGAGATAGCAAGTGATTACGCACTGAAATCAATTAGTTCGCTTAAGCTCAAACTGTGACGTCCCTCTTTGCGCAAGAAACATCGACAAAAGGACGGTTCATAGCCCGCCACAAGCACATACTACTCATTTGTGACGCGAAAACGGCCTAAAATCTATTGGTCGTGCGTGTGTGTGTGTGTGTGTGATGACGATGCCAATGGAAGAGAGGCGCACCAAAGACCACCAAAATCCAATATCGCCTTCATAAGGCATGTGGGGCACTGAAAGCCCACCACGAAGAAAATAACATCAGGAGCCGTACGTCTCTGTGCCTTGCACCGATGCTATGCCATCATGTGACCATAAAAAGATAAATGTGGGGTGAAGAGATCGGAGAAAGGAGGCCACATGTAAGTGAATTTAGCAAAAACTCATAGTAGGGGCGCCAACAATTTTGCAGCAACTCAGAGACACAAAGAGTCTCCTATGGAGTGGCGATAGAGTGGAAGAGTGGGATAGCTTCAATGTCCGGATAGGAGATGACAGCAGACGCACAACCGGTAGCGGTTGACCTGTGAAGTATCGTATTCAGCACAGGATGATTGGAGTCCGTCTCAATCCTGTAATGGAGATGAATCAACAACATTCAAAGTAGCGATCAGAATCTCCTGCGCATTATGACAGTGCGGGCGTCCAACAACGTCTGGCATACTAACTTCATCAGTTGTACAGATGAGGACAGTGAAATCCGTCCGAACTCAATGGTCGATAGCCAGATCAGGAAAGTGAGCAAAGGTCAAGGAACATGTTTTCGGGCACTGAGAGATGTAAATGTCATTTGTCTACATCGCCCAAGTGTAGTTGTTTGATTGCAGCCACTTCAGACGGGCCAGTAAGCCACTTCCAAATATGATCTTGAATGCCACATCGATAGGATGCAGAAAACCAGAAACGAGCCGTTAGTCACTATTTGGAATCCATTAATCAGAAAGGTCGTAGTCTAAAGGATAAAAAGCTTGTCTCGTAATCCTCAGGTGTGAGTTCCAGCCTGCGTACGGAACCGGGCAATCATCCTAGTATCTGTAGTTCACGCGCAACTGTCGTTGCACGGAACTGAAGCGCTGGGACTGCGCACTGATGTACCGTTGATACCCTACTATATTACTACTACTACTACTACTAATAATAATAATAATAATAATAACGCTATGTAGAATAGAACCATGAATGAGTCTGAGAGCACTGTCAAGAAGAGAAACAAGAGAGAGGCATTCGAACCCTCCGTAAGTGTGTTGGAGGTGTATTGCCCAGATATAAAGGTGAACAACGGAAAAGCAAATGACTCGCGCAGATTGGAGATCTACCGTCGACGAGACGACTTTAACGTGGCGCGATGGTTTGTGCACTTCCGTCTTTCAGACTTTGAAAACACTTGGGAGGCCGCTTCGCGGACGATGCGAGCAGATCAAAAAATTGCACAGACCACAATATTTATAGTAGCAGAATTGTTTTCCAACACAAATGTTTACACCGTGTCACCTGGCACACACCGAATTCGCCAATGACTTGGGCCCAAATTGACCATATTGCCATCGGCTATAGGTTCACACATAAGTTTAAGGCTATCGATCAATTTGGAGCACATACCTGGGTTCCAACCATGTTCTGGAGCAAGTCCCTTGCTTTACTTATCTAGGGAGTTGCATCACCGTTGGTGGCGGTGTTGGACATGAAGTCTCACAACGGATTGCAAAGGGCCGCCTTACATTCATCAAACAGACACCTATGTCGTCGCCGTGATGTCAGCCTCAAGCTCAAGAGCAGTGTATGCAATGCTTCCGTCCGTGCAGTACTCTTGTACGGCTGTGAGACTTGGCCTATTCGCTCGGAAAACATGAAGCGGCTGTCAGTGTGCGACAATCGCTGTCTACGAAGGATTGCTCGGGTGTGGTGGCAACACCATGTAAGCAACACAGAGGTTCGAGACCGAGTGCCTGGAGCGAGTAATGCCAGCCTTCAGAACGTTATTCTCCGACATCGCATGCGTTGGCTCGGGCACCTTTTGCACATGCCAGCCTATCGCTTTCCACGTCGAGCGCTATTTGCACTCCCAGGGAGGGATTGGAAAAAAGTGCCGCGGTGGACAGCCAATGACGTGGAGAAGGAGCATGAAGAACGGAACATCAAGGTTGGCGGCAACCGGATCAGTGCATCTTCCAGATTGGGGACAATGAGATGCTGAATCTCAGTGGTTGGAAACATTGAGTGTCATGGCCCGCAAGAGACATCAGTGGCGTCAATGCTGTTCTGCCATTTTATCCCTACTTTAATGCACACAAAAACTCGCGAAACAAAATAAAAAAGGCGTGTGCAAAACCAAAAAGTCATTTTCTTTTCTATCATTATTGCATTTTGTGTTTCTATCTTCTCC